ACCCACCCAAACAACCACATACACAACAAAATACAAGTTCTGTGCAACATCAAGATTAAGTAAGCACAGCATAATTTTAATATAAAAATCTTAATAATTGCAGTCATTAATTTTAAGAAAACTATAAACAGGTTTTGCCTATAAATACAAGTATCAATAAATCGCGAGACATGGCTAAAAGCCTTTCAAGACCCCTTCTTTCAAAATGCAGTGCTATTGATTGCTTAAAAAGCTGTCAAATTGATGTAAAATGCTGGAACACTGCAACTGAGGTGCTGCTTTTATAAGAGCTTGTAAAAACACCTTTTAATCTAAAATCTTTAGTAAGCACGTCAGTCAGCTAAACAATTCAAAAGACCTGGTCCCCAGTCAACATGTCTTCAACAGCAAAGGCAACGAAACAAAGGTTGGGCTATTGTTTCAGGGTAAGCCCCGAGGAGAACTTAGCTCAGTACTACTCTAGCTTTCCTGAAATGTTTTCTTCTTCAGAACACATCCCCGCTTTTTACAAATGCCATACTTTTAATGAAACCTTCATTCTTGCTACTGCAGTGCCTGCTTATGCTCTTGTGGTGGTTTTGCACTGGTGGGCCGTTAAAATCAGTAACCTAAACTAAGAATTGCTTAAGTCAATCTAAAGCAAAATAAGTCAAAAGGACATTTCCAGGAATGCTAATACGATAAATGCATTTAACACCGAACTCCCAACTCCCACAAAAATAGTGGACATAAGTATCTAGCAAATGATCATGCAAAGCAATACAGATAAGGTTCCAATTTTGAGTCTTTATGACTCAATTTATCACTGTACATGGGAAAAGCAGGTCACAGTTGCACACAATATTTCATATTAATTTTCAAACGTACTTATGAAGTCCACAAATAGCACCAATTTTTGGATGAATGGTGAGCACTTTGGAGGACAGGATTGTAGTTTAGAACTTTTTATAAATTCAACAAAGCTCTGCACTTAGAACAAAATGCAGACAGAAAATGAGGTATCACAACATAGGCATCAACACATCCAGGAAAGGATTTAGGACTTTTATCATGGACCTCCTGACCAATGCTGTGATGCTGCTGCACTAGAAGCACATTTAGTACCTTTAGAGGATTCTGCATGGAGACAAGTGAAGAAATTATGGTGCTCCCAAGGATTATTTTATCTGAATCCTACATTATTCTATACTGAGGGTCCAGACTGACTATTGTCAGGGGGTTATAAATAAGACTGAACTCTCAGCTGCAGAAATGGCAAAATTTAAAAGAAGATGAAAATGATGGAAATGATGGAAAGATGAAAATATGGAAATTTTAAAAAGAAAGAGGCAGAGTATATGTGAAGTTGGAGAGAGAACAGGGGAAACTTCATAATAACTGTCTCAAAATATCAAGCAAATTCTTAATTTAGGAAGAAAATATTATGAGAACAATATAACCACTATTAATGAAGTTCCATTTTAGACATTATTAAAAGGTCTATGAAGTCGTCCTTATATCGTCCATAAAATATAACACTGTGAACTGCTTGAACAGGCCACATCAAGAGATGAAGTTTTTGGTGGTGCTGAACACTTCTTCAGAACAGATTCAGAAAACATCCACCAACAGTTCTCTTGTAATATTTATTCTTCCTCATAAAACAAAGGAGGTAGACAAGATGAGGGTCAGAACTACATTGATAGTATTCTATGTTATTTACCAGACTCAATTACACTGCACACATATGATGATTAAAAGGCCAGTTTAGGTACTATCCTATAGACAAACAGTACTTGATTGTTGCCTTAGAGTATAATCTGCCTTCAAACAATTTTCAGACTGTTGCTAAACATCACAAAAGAGACAGATCAGCAATCTGCATGACAACAGTTGGGAATGGCTTATGTAAAGAAGCCAACGGGACATGATAACCAAAGCTTTCAAAGTGTGCATTGTGCCCCCGAGTTCTACAATTGCTACTGGTGTAAGAGCCGTGTTATTATATCCCCAAACTTCTATGATTGAATTTGGCATCTTTAACTTCCCAACCATATTTAATTTTGCTATTTAACATACATTTACACATTTCTGGGAGACAGCATCAGTTGATTGTTTTAGAGACAAAGCTGTGCACTGGGTATGATAAAAGGACAAAGAAAAATAAGTGTCAAAGCATTAAATAAACAAACATTACTAAAATCAGACTTAAAAGCCTCAACTTTCTCAGAGGAAAACAGATTTAGGATGGCAGAATCCAAACTACAATTCTCTAAGAGTCTCTGCTCCACGGCAAGTATAAACTGAAGTAACTGAAGTAGTAAAAAAAACAAACAAACAAACAACAAACCAACAACAAAAACCAACCAACAAACAAAAAAAACCCACCAGAAAACAAAAACCCAAAATACCTGTCTGTCCAGTAACTTTTTAACAGCTGTGTTATTTATAGGACCAAGACCCTGCAGCTTAATGATTAATGAAGATTGACTGTTCCTGATGACTTGCAGTGTCAGACAGAAGTAAATGAACCATAAGAAGGTTGTAAAAAGCAGAGCAAAGCCCCTGCAGAGACAAGTCATGGCAGCTGCTTACTGCAGGATCATCCTTAGCAATGGGCTGCAGCAGTCAACCTGCTGCAGTATGACCACAACTGCTAAAAACAGTGTTCTTCCAGCCCGAGTGTACCATGTCCACACCAGTCACTGAGATGTCAGCCCTTATTTAACACCTTGCTGCCCTAGCATGTGCCCCTTTTCAGTGCTTTGACGCACTACACTTGTTGATCATTTTAAAACTCTATAGCTCTGCAAAACAGAAGCCACAGCCCCAACAGAATCTTGACCTGAGTCCAGAGCACGGATTCAGGTTTTCCCCACCAAAAACATTACAACAACACACACTTCATGACCTGAAAGTGATGCTCACAGGCTTGAAAATACGGTGGATTACAATCTGTAAGGCATGGGGGAACACTTATGTTTTTTGTGGTCAACTTTCATTTCTTTCTATCCTGGCTATACTGCATGAATAAAGCACTCTGCTTCATGCAGTGCATTCACATGCTTTGTCTTGACTATCATTTGAAGAGTTTACGTGTCTCTTCATGGAGGCAGAGGTTTATGCCAGTAGTCCAGTAGCAGCATTTAGTTTCTTGCCACTATTAAGGAATTTTCACTGAGTTTTCCTCCACTGAGTAATTCATTGAATAACGTTTTCTCCATCTGAGCACAGGAAAAATGTAACAGTGAGTGATGTGAAAGTTATTGCACACACAGGTTTTAATTCCTCTGCACAGCTGCTCAGACACCATGAGGACCTCCACGTTATAATAAAAACAGCGCAAACCCTTGAGCTAAACATTTTTCCTTCTCTAGTTCCTAGCCACAACACAAGAGACAACAGTACTCATCACTGTAAGCATTCATTGGATACTCCAGTATGAATCTTAAATCTGCATCAAGACTGGCAGACACTACCTGAGTGAACTTCAGTTAATTGTGCTGATGTGGGGTGAGCACAGTGAGAGCCTTTGAAACTCTCATCCACCCATAAGAATACTGATTTCAGATTGCAAGTCATAAAATAAAGCTAATTCAACAATCTTCCTGCCACTGAGACCCACTGGGCTTTTTTTTTTTTGGCTTTTTTTTTTTTTTTTGACCTATACAGATTTTCCACTTACATCCCACTCTGCTCACTTTAAATTCCTCTGTACTTCAGCAAAGCTTAGTGAGCTTCGCACTGCACTGAGTTAGACATACGCCTAGCCATAAAGGCAAAAGCCAGGCCAAGTCTTTCCCATAACCCACAGCTAGAGACATATTAACAACTAAAATACAGAAATTAATGGTGACAAGTTTCTTTGAACAGCAGCTGATGCTTTAATGCTAGGTTATGCTTTAAAAAAAAAAAAAAGAAACTAAAAAAAAACCACTAAAAAAACCTAAAAATATTTCACCCAAATACTATTAGGAAATTGTTTAATATCAAGGATGATGGTGTTATTCCAATTTCAAATAAGTTTGCACTTACTCTAGATTTTCTTACAAAAAGCAGAAAGGCCTCTAGGCAAACTAAGGGCAAATACATGTAGAGTTTGCATATAGTATTTGTTGTATGCAAAAACCAGAAGATGCTTCAGGAAGAGCTGCTAGGATTAAGTTGGTTTCTGTCTCCTTGTAGATCACCAAAATTAGAACGTTAGAGTGTTTCCCTTAAATATATAGAACCTATTCTTTGAGGTAAGCATAATTTTCTATAAACTGTTATTATTATCAATGTTATTACCCATCCTGTAAGTTATAGTCAGTATCTTTCAACATTTTTTCTAAGTTTGGAAAGTCAAATAGCAAACAATGCTTCATCTTAGAATCAACAAACAAAACTACACCATTTCTACCTACTTTCAGAAATATGAACTGTATTCTCAATTTCCAGAATTCCTTTCATGCAATGTGATCTTGAATTAGCTGGAAACACTATTATGTGAATTATCACTCTCGATGCTGATCATTTTAATAAGGATAAACAACATTTCATCCCACTGAATGTGTTTGTTAAGTAAAATACTACAGAGTATCAATAAAACAGCAGAATCTAATTTATGACTGATAAAGTAGTAATTATAGCTGTGGCAAGCACTTCACAGAGTCATAATCTACATCTGAATGGACAAAAATATCTAGACAAAGAAATACAAAAAGCAAAATGTGAACAAAGCAATTTTCATATTATTTGGATAACAAATGCAGGTGTCCTAGCCTCTAGTTCAAACAATTAATGCTTATTTTTAACTAAGAATGTGAGAAGGCAATCTGAAATCAAGGCATAAAAGTCTTGACTTCTTTAAGAGCCTGCATGGAATATAAAATATGCCATGTTGTTCTCACATCAACTTCCACAAATATTTGTGCTTACACAACATTGTCTGCATCCTGCTGTCTGTATAACATCACCCTTTGAGCCAAGCATGCAGTAAGGAAGACTCCTAGAGGTGCAGGTCAGCAAAGTTCTCTCACCTGAAAACTTCCTGCATGGTCGTCTTCTTTGTCACCTTCTTTTCCTTCTTTAAGGGCGATCAGTGTGAATCCTCGAAAGTAAGCGGGAGTAGCAGCAGAAAGTGTCACTAAGATACAATGCACAGAGAAATAATGAAAACATAATATTAACTGGGAAAGCAACACTTGCATATAATTTCAGAGTTCAACTTTAATGTGTTTTAAGTTGGTATTCACCAGACCTAGAGCACTAACAACATGGAGCAGAGCCAACCAGAATATAAAAATGTTGAGTCCAAGTTTCCACATAAACCAGAGAAGACTGGTATGATGTGAAATACCTCAGGGTTTGTGGATTTGCTTGGGTATTTTTCCCCTCAAAGGAGATTGCTAATCTGCTCAGATCTACGCAAGGGTGTGATGGTTTAAACACAGCTAGTTTTAACCCCACCCTTAGCTTTCCCCAGGCAGGATGGAGAACCAAAAGAAAAAAAACATGCAGGTTGAGATGAGAATGGTTTAATAACTAAAGTGCAATATACTACTAATAATAATACTAACAAGGGAAATAACAAGGGAAAATAATATAAAAGGGAAAAAGAAAAAACCAAAAAACCCAGCCACTGACCGATACCCAGCCCAACCTGAGCAGTGATCTGCACTTCCAGGTGACTCCCCCCTGTTTATATACTGGGCATGATGTGCTGTGGTATGGGATACCCCTTTGGCTAGTTTGGGTCAGGTGTCCTCTCTCTGCTTCTTCCCAGCTTCTTGTGCCCCTCCTCATTGCTAGAACATGAGAGACTGTGCAGTCCTTGATCAGGGTAAGTGTTACGGAGCAACAACTAAAATATTGGTGTGTTATCATCAGCATTGTTCTCAGACTGAAGCTAAAACTCAGCACTGCACCAGCTACTAAGGAGAAAATTAACTCTATCCAAGCTGAAAGCAGGACAGAGGGTTATTGTGGTGGTGGTGGTTTGGGAGTGGGGCACACATGCTCAAAGGATATCTTCTTTTTTTTTTTTTTCCTTGTGGGTTATTCAGTTGTGGGGTTTTTTTTAATGCAAGGGAACATCTCTTGAATATTTGGCTTCAGCTTTTGTCCTGCTCTGAGTCCAGACAAGGATATAGGCATTTTAGCACATTTCAACACTTCAGCAGTAAGTTTCTTTAACTGTAAAGCAAAATGACCACGTTGTCTGCTCCAGCTCATCACTCCAGCTGATGGACATGGTCACTCTAGAACTGTCCTTCCTCTCCCTTAACCTCAGGGCAGAGGAGGACACAGAGTACAACTCATAGCTGAAGCTGATCTCTAAAGACTGCACTGGCAGCTCTGGTTGCCCAAAGGATGCTACACATCAGCAATCCCCCTTTCTTTACATACCAGTCCTGTCCAGGAGGGTGTCACTAGAGCCACTGGCAGAGAACAAGTAACATAATGCTGACTAATCTGACTTTGCCACACTCAGGACCAGGACCACATCCCTCCTTTTCTGCTAGAGCAAGATACATTTGTATGGTTTTCCTGTTTGCCATCATCAGTACCTAGGCACCACCAGCAACAGTCAAGTGACACCAGCTGCAACCCTTTATAACACTATCAGAAAGATGGAACAAGGCAGAGGTTTGAGGCAGGACTTTTGGGGGAGTTTTAAAATTAGTGAACCCTTTTCAACACCTTTTAGGAATCCTTTTCGGAAACAGAGGTAAATATTAGGGAAAAGGTCTTTTTGAACTAAGACAGACAGAAAACCAGACTACTGATGCTTTTAAGTAGCTTTTACTTTAAGCACAATGCAGGCAGCGCTGCTTGTAGTGCACTATTGTCACACTCTCAAACCCTGACTAGCACAATAAAAACTGAAGACCACCCAGAGCTTTCATACAACTACCAGTGCTGCTTCATAAGAGAGTGTTCACAGAAGACTCCTCCTCACACAAATAGGCCACGAGGGGTTGAATCACCTCACTAAAATTACAGATTGTTCTTAAAAGAGATGGATTTCTAAATACTCCCAGAGTTATTTGGAATATGTGGAGAGCTCTTTGGTCCAGAAATTCAGTTGTGGAAAAATATAAAATCAGATTTGAAGATTTATAGCACTATGCAGCTGTATTTGGGTCTAAAAAACATCCATAACTTCCTGACTGTATGTGAAAAAGGGGGTTTTTGGACAGAGAAGGTTAAATCAAAGTGCCCTGTTTAGACCTGTATGCCTGCAAGCACCTGTACAAACCTAGAGTAGCAATCAGCATAACAGCAAGTCCCCCAGCTCTCAGAATTTTCAGCACACTTTTCATCCCATGGAACCTTATAATATGGCTAAAATTCATAAATTTGGGGAGAAAAACTTTCACATTTTATATACAGGAACTAAGCAGTAGTAAAATAGCATTAAGATTTCTTATTACATTTCTAAGTATTGCTCCAATTAATTAATCCATTATCTGCTCAATAATTAGTATTATTTGTCCAATTTCACACACTTTAGCAGCTCTATCTGAATGCAAATCCACAGCCAGCCCCTCAGTTACAGTAACCGACAACAGCACACTGCTCAACTCAACAAGCACAAATGTATCACATCTGCTTGAACACCAATTCTTAGAAACTAATTGCCATAAAGGTATTTTACATTAAACAAGTTTTTCCATGTATTGCATATAATTCAAAACTCTGAATCACTACGAGTAAAAGGTTACACCAGAAACACTTAATTATGCAAACAGAGAATCCAGCTGTGAATTGACTCAACAGTTTTCAACATTTTTCTCACAAATTTACAGATCAAACCAACCAGCCTTCAAATTTCTAAACAAACGCCCACCTATAAACTAGAGGACATCTGAAACGCTACAAAAACATCAGGAAAGAAAAAAGAGAAGACAGGAAGGTCATTCCAAAGCCTGACTCATAGTTTTTGCATGCCTAAGGTTAGCAGTACTCATGCTGTGGTTGCACAGTCATTTAAACCCAGAATAAAGCCCTGCTCCCCCCACCACAAATGATCCTGCCCTTCCCTGTGGTGCACCCGCATTCAGGCGGCTCTGCTGTCAGCCTGACCAAGGAACACATCCAGCCTAAAGGGAGAACAAACCATTGGAGACTTGACCCGTGTCCAGCCCCTGAGCAGCCACTGCTGCCAAGGAACAGGACACCCAGAGGCTGACAAGGGGCCAGAAGGTGATGGACTGCAGGAGCAGAGCGGACCCGAGCGAGATGTTGGTGTGACTTGTTGAGGATTTTATAGTGTCTGTGCAACCTCAACTCAAGGGTATCAATATGAACATGTGCTTTGGTGGCCCCTGAACTAGACCAGAGCAGATGTTAACAAACACTCAAGCTGAAAAGATTTCTGTCAGTTTTCTGAACTACCCAGTGTGCTCAGACACCACTGCAGTGCAAGGCTTATGTTTGAGGCACTCCTAAATACACAGCCTTGTTATGGTGGTGGTTCTGTAGGCACTGGCTCTGAACTGATTGTTTCAGCCCAGGAGGAGGCTCACATTGCACAGTCAGCAGTGGGAAGCTGTCAGGCTACATCTGGTTTCCACAAGAGAGAGCAGCTCCTCCTCCCTAGGAGCTGAGAGTTCTTCCTGAGCTAAACTCTGCCCTTTAACAGACCAGCTGGGCACTGCTCACACTGTAGTCACATTAATATCCACTGAAAAATATGAACTTCCTGTAAAGATCAGTTACATCTCAGTGCAAGTTTCAAAGTTAAAGATTATGCTTTAAGGGGAAGATTACACATTAACAATTACTTTTGTCTGTTTCCACCCCCTCCAGCAAATCTCTGATTACAAGCTGCATTTTGGCACACACCTTCAACACACTCCTCCTTCCCCTGTCTCCCCAGCTAAAGATGGGGTGATCAAAGAAATTTTTCCTTTGGTTTCAAGCATGAAATTTGACTTTCTACAACCTACACAACAGCACATCCTGCACTGTATATCATACAAGTACCAACAAATACACTTTTAATATCTGCTTTTAACCATAATCTGTGAAACTTGAGAATCACTAAAATATTTACAAGATGCCTGTTTATATGCAAAGTATAGAAAAGAGGGTTTGCATCTTGGGGGGGGAAGAGAGATGGAAAGAAAAAGGTTCAACATTCCTTAGAAGTCCCCAAACCAGTGCAATGGAGTGTGCAAGATTAAACGAGCTTTCCTTGAAAACTGAGGTGAGCAAACCTACAAGTGGAAATTCCATTAAAAAAAATAAATAGCATCCATATAGAAGGTATATCTAAGGACTACACTAGTTAAATCTTTGTTTTCTTCATCAGAATAATATGTTAATTGTATGGTGGAAACCATGTCCACTGCATGTTAGCACATGAAATGGACACACTGCTGCCGAAACACTTTCATTTATATTTTTAATAAGATCAAATTTATCTCAGTTTTCACGGAAAACTCACGCAATCATTAATCTAACTCTACAGAACAACAAAGCTATGACTGAGTACTTTCAAAGATCATTACCCCATGACACCATCTAAACCTAAGGCTCACTTGTGTCCTTTGAATGCAACAGGAACTTTGACCTTCAGTGAAGCAAGAGCAGCTACATCAGGGTTAACCAGCAGGTAGGAGAGAATCTCCACCCCAGGATGGTATGCCCACAAATCTGGTACTACAGGAGGATTTGCCCACCACATGCATTTGGCTGCCAGGGGAGATGCAACATACTGCAGCATGAAAGACCAGGCAGATGAAGGTCCCTTGCAGACTACAGCATCAGAAGTCCCAAATAAGATGTTATAAATCAGTCATGTCACCAACCCTGTGGGACACCACAAAGCCCATAGCCACTGTTGCTTTGTTAGACATAAGGGAGAAAAGGAAGATGTCTCCTCAGCCCTGCAGGTACCTCATTTTGAATTGTCTGACAGGAAAATGTGTTTTTATTTACTGCCGCCAGTGTGTGCAGACCAGAGGAGGTACATACTCATTCAAATAGGTTATGCAGTGGTCAGGGCTATTTCTTCTGTCACAGTTCCAGAGAGGTGGAAAACCAAGGCTTTCATACACACAGATCCACCCGAGATTTCCCTTTAGGGCAAACAGATCCTGCTTGATCTAAAGGCAAGTAGCTACAAGAAAGTCATAGACATTTCCCCGAAGACAAATGGCAGTTGTGAACTGTGAACATCTGACTCTCCCATGGCAAGAGTGCTGCGGTGCTCCTTCCAGTCACTGTAGCTTGAGGGTCTCACAGGAGTGTCTCATCAACCAGTGATCAACAGAGTCACAAACATAAACGGATGCCTCTATACCATCAACTTGGTGGAGCACAGCATTTGTACGTGCAGTTAAACCCTGTGTTCTCCACCTGCCATACACACTAGTTTATTCCAGGAGCCTGCTAGGGAATGTGCCAAGGATCCAGATTGCATTAAATCAAGAGGGGGTCATAGAAACAGGCACATTTGGCTCCAACATAACAATGGTTGTGCAAAACTTCCTCAGTGTTGTACATCTAGTAATTTACAGATAAAAACCCCTCAAACCTCCCAGCTTTTTTTTTTTTTTTTTTATCATTAGTTGGATTTTCTAGCTTTTGTATGAGACAGTAATAGAGTTGCAGTTGTACTGCACAAATTCCTTTGGGAATGAGCTCTGAAACTTCCTCTAATGCTGTTCAGTTTAACTGTTCCCATAGATAACGTGTAGTTACAGTAACATTTACTTCTTCTCACTATTCAGGAAGTGTTGCTAAAGGTCTGTCTAGATAGTCTTATGTGCCCTCTGAGTACTTCAATACTAAGTACCAAAAACTTGGGCACATATTTGGTCTACATTTTTACTTTTCACTATTATCTGTAATTTTCTCACTGCCAAGAAGCTACAATATACTCGTATGATCTTATTGAGTTCCTAATGCCAAGACCTAGTATCTCTACAAAATTAGTTCCGCTAATTCACCTGGGGGTTTCCTTCTCCCTATGGCTCCACGCAATAGGAACCTCTTCTGTAGATGACTGAAAATATATTCAACAATGCTTTTACGGAAGTAAACTCCAAAACTTTTTAAGAACATTCACAATTGTCATTATCAAAGAAAATTACGCTTATCTTTATCCTTCTTAGATGTATCAAGCAGACCTGCAAGATGAAATCTTTCAGACACAAGGTACTAATCCTAACACCTGCAACAGTCAACCAATGTGTGGGAAATGGGCATTTCCTCACACCACATTAAAATTAAACAACTCTTAAGGGGGGGGGGGGAGGGGAGGGGATACAAAATAAAAATTAAAGTCATGTAAAGTTACAAGCTGATCCTCAAAACAGTTAATCACTGCTGCAGATGTATTTTTCAGCCTTTAAGAGAACATGGTGTCTATGCTGTATGCACACTTTCTCCTCCCTGTCTATGCTAAGGTTCCTATGTTCATGCAATGGGAAAACATTGCTCTTTACACTGAATCTAAGGAAGGTAAGGAGAAATACTTAGAAGAATGTCTTAAAATTTGCTTTCCAAAAAGTAGATATTGCCCATAAAGTACATCAGCTCTGGTACCTAAAAATGTCCACATTCTTTTCAAAGTGCTTTTAAAAGACAAAGTTAACAACGTGCTCCAAGGTTTGTTTCTAAAGGTATTATATGGCGAGGCAGGACAAGTGACCAAAAACTGCGTTTGCCTATTAACTAGAAAAACACACTGAAATGTACTCTGGAAGGTAATTTCGAGGATTGCGTGTGACCTGCTCAGCAAAGAGCCGATGTCTTCACCTCTTACTTGCAGTGGTCATTAGCACCATCCCTGCCTCTTTCCTGTTTGAACCATCTGTTCATTCCCTCGGGGGAAAAAAAAGAAAAAAAAAAAAGTACGGGGGTGGGATAAACATAAGTGGAAAATGTGGGCAGTTGGCAGCGTGCTGCATCACTGTTTGCCCATATGCTAACTCATTATATTAACATTCCTATTTCAGGGCAAGAACAACTAGCTCCGAGTTTCCTTCCTGCTGAATGTTAAAGCTTCCCCTATTCACTGTGCTACATTTAAACGGATATGAAGAAATCTTAGTGAAGTAGGTAAACGGGGGAAGAGTGTGGTTTGTATCACATCAATTTGTGATCTTGTGCTAGCGCTGAGCCGGTACAGAGAATTCATAAAAGAAAGGAAATTCCTCCTAATACTGAGTTAATGGCTGGGAGTAAAGTGATACCGTGAAATCCAGCTCCCTCTCACTTGTCATGAAAGCATCCCCAATAAAGTAATGCGTGGGAATATATTACCCTGTTTTAACCCACACAGTCACACATGCACGCTAAAAGGGATCCAGAGATGACAGGCAGAGACACGTTACAGTTTGAGCCCCTTGTCCTGACCACTGTCGTTCACAGGGGATGTAGAGGATGGTCAACTTACCCCGGTAACTGTTCCCAGGCTTGTAAAATTCTGGGTCGCCCTCCACCCTGAGGCTAAATTCATTGTACCCTTCCCTCCTGGTGCCTTGGGCTCGCAGGATGCGACTGCAATATCCCTCGGATTTCGCGGCTTTCTCCAAGGTTTCGTCAGAAAAGCCCTTCGCCACCAAGGGGAAAGTCAACGCCAGAAGCCGCAGGGCGAGAGGCTGCAGATGCGCTCCCATCCTCGGCGCTTCGCACAACTTTTGATCGGCGGGGCGGCGGCGGCGGCGCCCGCAAGGGGGGAGGCCAGGACCGGCACGGCGGGCAGCGCGGGCCGGACGGGCTCGGGCAGCCCCAGCCGGCAGCGGCCCCCAGCGTGAAGCTGCCGGGTCGGAGGGACAGGCTGAGAGGCTGCAGGGGAGAGGGAGGGGAAAAGCAGGGAGGGGGCAGAGAGGGAGGGGAGAGGGAGTGGAGGAGGAGGTACGTCTGATCTTGCCCAGAGCCCGAAGTGAAGTGCTGGTTTGTTTCAGAGCGTGTGATTAGCGGCTCGGCAGTGTTTATTTAGCCTAGCTGAATTCACTGGGTTCGGCGGAGGAGCGGAGCAGGGGGGACGCTGCTGTCTCCCAGACATCCAGCGGGAGAAAGGCTGCCACTCCACTCGGGCTGAGCCCTCAGACCTGAAATTAATCACCCACATTCATGCCACTGTCTATAGTTACTGCAGGGATAACAAGCGCCGAAGAATTTCCCAACACTCTTCCACTCCCCCATCTCTCTCCAAACCAGCAGACTTGATAAATATTATCAACTAAATCAGTGCAGATGGACCGAGACAACAGCTTGCTCTCTATGCGTTCGACAAGCAAGGACCATCGACTGCAGCTTCTCAGGGGTAAGCATCTCAGCGCCACAGAGGAGAAAGATGCAGAGAGATGGATGTGCCAGAAACATGAGATGTTTTTCCTACCCCTACCTACAAGCATGCACACCAACGGTGCAGGCTGTGTAAGTGTACCCGTGTGTAGATATACCTGTGTTTATGTAAGTGTGCCTGCAAGCACACCATCTACACACAACAGCTGAGAACAAAGTTCACCTCAATGAACATGGGAGATATTAAAAAAACCCAGACAGATGCAAACAGGGTTAAATAAGGAGGGAGCAGGTCTCATTGTTTTGCCTTAATACAAGTCATGCTGACACATAATGACTTCTTTAAAGCCACAAAAGGAGTTTATGGCAGCGGAAAACACATCAACCTAGACAGCCCAGGATTCCCAAGGCTTCAATCCCTAGGTGCTGCTCTTCTCTCCCTTTCTCCACTGTTTTATAAGTGGAAAAGAAAGTTGGAAAGGTATGTCCTCCATCAGGACCTGGATACTTTCAGGATGCCAGGTGTACAAGAAGGCACAAACCCCTTTTTAGTCTCCATCTCTGGAAGTATCATAGGGTTGAATTGGGTTAGGGTTGGAAAGGACCTTAAGATCGTCTAGTTCCAAACCCCTGCCACAGGCCAGGGCACCTTGCCACCTAGACCATGTTGCCCGAGGCTCTGTCCAACCTTGCCTTGAACAGTGTAGCAGAGTGAAAAATGCAATGCATTTAAGCACAACTTCCTTGGAAATACGGGAAATAGGAAGCAGCTTCAAATTCTCTTGGTGCTAAGGCATTTGTTAGTATCAGATTTGTAAGATTTTGGGTTCCAAACACCCCACTGGAAGTCGTTTAGCAACAGCCTAGTGCTATGTGCCAAATAAAGGTGGTGCTCCCGGTTTCTGTTAGGACACCGAACATTTTACTTTCTGGAAGGACACTCACCAAGAGCTTTGCTACTGTAAGCTTGTCTGTAAAAATGTAAAATATAAACAAAAATATAAAGAATATAAACCAGTAGACCTTCAAAACATATGTTTAGTAATGACAAAGTTAAAAGCTAAATTCTTATCCACCTGTTAGTGTATATTTAGTTGCACAGTTCTGAAAATCATGTTCATTTAGGTAATTAAGTGACTACAGTTCAGCCATGTTATTGACTCTTGCTTATCATTTGACTGCTATGTTCACCTCATTCATTTTATGAGAACAAGGTGCACTTTATCCAGGTCCTTCAGTCAAATTTATTAGTGAAGGAAAGCAAACTAATACACAACTGAAAATGACAACTATAACCATACTGGTGTAAGATGCCTGTGATTCACTCTCCGTAATAGACTTCTCATGTCTTTTGCTGAGATTGATTAAAAGCAATTACCTGACTGAAGTGTTCACACTGAGAACCGCACACAGTCCTGCACAATCCACCTTTGTTCCAAGCCAGAGCTCTGGGTTCCAACTCAAAGTTCCTCCGAGCATTTTGGTTTGAGTCCTTTTCACAATTTTCAGCGTTTTATATGGTACCAAACTAATTAAAAGTTAACTAATTCATCAGCATCAATTGACTCTTTAAATTTAAAATAGATTCTATATCTTTTACTTTTTTTATCCCTGAATTGGCTTGGCCTGTTTCTTCTATTTTCTTTTTTGTTAAAAGCTAAGGTGCTGGAAAGTTTCCTAGCAAGGTATAATACAGTGTGTCTTGTTGAAATTGAACGCCTCAACTCAGCAACTGATACAGATAAATTAACTTGTGCTGCCTACAACCGTGAAATAAGTAATTTGTCGCAGAGCCGGTTTAGAAGCTGGGCGATGTCATTAAGCATGGGCATCCTCAGGGTTTTCTATTTGTTCTACTAATTAGTGTGTGCTTGCCTAAAGCATCCAGCATGATGTATCAGTCAAAGACACATGCAAAGTGATGAATCCAGCCATCCATGGCAAATTTAACACCACAAGCTTCGTATCTTAGAGATTGCAGTGCTGCTTTTCTTTGTGGGATGAATCAAGTTGCTGTCCACAACTATTAGGCATCATAACCATTATGGGGTAATATTGCATATGATGAAGCTGTGATGGCTGGAGGATACTCTCTCCCCTCCCCTCACAAAGTGGGCTTTCTTAACAAATAAAAGCATTTCACAAGATCTGCAGTCTGTCTTACTTTTGTTTCTCTAATAAGGACCTCATTTTTAACTGCCATTTTATAAAACTGCATTAACTAGTGCAGAGTGTCCCTACATTGACTGGAAGATATCGTAAGTGGCATTTTAAAAGTTCTCTTTCCTTCTACTTCTGCGATTTCAAATAGCTATCTGAAGTATTGGGAATTACGTATGAGGTGATATGTGCAATGCAATGCTTGGCTATGCAACACCTAATTTTAAGGCCCCAGTCCTGAAGGTAAACCAGGGCCTCAGGCTAATGTCTAAAATGATTACAAGATTATCTGACCCCTTAGAAGAGTCAGTTCACTGAGCTGACGCCCACAAAACCAGCCAATGAGAAATAAAGGTGACAGGTGCTCTAGATCTCACAGCCATCAAGTGCTCCATAACTTTACTGGGCTGTACAAGTCACTTCCCAAACCCACGAGCTAGAAGCTTAAGCCCAGCTTTAATATATAAATGTAGTAATAATGAGGGGAATTCATCACTTTTAAAAGATGACTGGCAAGAGTGATGCCTATGCTTTGACACAAGAGCTGGAGATTAAATTATCATTTAGGATGTCAGAGAGACATGGGTTTCAATTCCTTGCTTTGCTTGCAAGTTCTTATATCCTCACCTCTCACTTCTTAGAAAGCTTGTAACTGTGAAGCTCTAGGTCTTCTAGAGACACCGTCAGTTCCTCATGGAAATGGGAGACCTCTAAAGTTGAGCCAAAGCTCAAATGAACAAGATGCATTTTCTGGAGACTGAGAGGAGCCTTCTCTTCCTCAGAAAGCAATAATTGTATTGGGATCAAAAGCAATTCAGGGTTTGGGTGATCACTCATTGTTCGAAGTTTGAAGTAAGGGCATTCTCAATACTAAGTAAGTAATACTAATACTAACTAAATACAAAGTAAGAGTGCATGAGATGACTGGTAAATAACGCTTCAAAACATTCTACAGTAAATCTTTGGTGATTGGGAGGGTAAGCAGGGAATTTGAGGATTGCATTTTCAAATAAGCCTATCCCATTTTTAGACCTTTATGTCAGACTATAGCTCTAGCTATTCATCTAATTTGTATCTCTGTTTCCTTTCCCACTCCCCCAGCGGTCACAGTCCATTTTCTCAAACAAGACAGAAACTTCTTCTATTGATTTAAATCGAAAATACCACCATTGCCTCTACAATTCCCCTCTATCTACAGTAGGAACGAGTCTTTTCTAATGCAGATTGGTCCATCCTGTCTTTGAAGCCTGTACAGTAAAAAGATTTGGAGACGCTCTTTAAGGTCCCTTCCAACCCAAGGATTCTATGATATTTGTTGTCCTATTAGACAAAGGAAAGGGCTTGGGAGGCACTTTAGATGATCTATTATGGCTCTGTAGCACTGTTTTCAGCTTCCTTTCTCATAAGAATATAAGTAGTGAAAAGTAATGACAGTAAATGTTTGCAGAGGTCTGTTCACCATTTAATACTACTGTCAGTCAATGTAATACATCTCCAATATTAAACTTCCTAGTAGCTCAGTTACATTTGCCTGATCATTCGTGCATGTCTTCGGCATATTTTTATAGTGACAATACAGAAAAGTTTTCACTGCTAATACTAATTTCATGTCTAATTTTATAGAAATATTTGGTTCTTGACAGGATGAGAATAGTATCATACATTTACTAGAGAAATACTGCAATGCTGAAACAGAAGGAGAGAAGCCCAGTTAAGGTTCCTTTTGTGCTTAACTGGGGCAAAAACTGAATGAAGCTGAAAAACCATGGGACAAGACATATGTTTAAGAGAGCACAGAGCCTGCAAAAGATCTAGAAAAGTCTTGCCAGCTCTCTGGGTACCACAGGCAGAGCAGGAATTAATGTAAAGCTGTTCTTGAATGGATCTTTCAAGTTGAGATGTTGACAGAAATTCATCTTCCACCCTCAGTCTATTTTGGGGAGGAGGTTTGCTGAGGAAAGACCCTGCTTCTTGGAACGTTTAAACTCAGGATCCCTTCCAATACCAGAGAGTAAACATGTTCTTAAAATATCTCTCCCTTTATCCCACACAGTGACTCAAAAGCTATCGTGGGAATGCCTGAAAACTCCAAAGAGTGGATTAAATAGAACCAGCTTCTCCAAGCCCAGCATGAGGCTTTTTATCCTTAAGGAAAATACATTGACATAAAACTGGAGTACCAGCAATTTCTAGGTCACATCTCATCCAGCTATGCCTAATTGTCTCCCCCACCAGTTGCTGCCTTTAG